TGCCCATAGTTAGATTTCTTTATGTCACCACATATTTAACCTCTTTTACCCCATCTACCTCCCCCTTCTCCCCCACCCTCTGGTAGCTACTAGTCTATTGTCCATGTCCATGAGTCTGTTTGTTTGTCCTATTTGTTTGTTGCTTTTAGGTTTATATCCCACATATAAGTGATATCATGTGGTTTTCAAATTTTTCTGTTTGACTTATTTCGCTTAGCATGATTAAAAAAAAAAGATAAGGGTCCACCTTCATCCTTTTGTATCCTTTTGTATAAGGATATCCAATTTTCCTGACACTGTTCATTGATGAGGTCGTACTTTTCTCACTGAGTGGTCTTGGCACCCTTGTTGACCATATACGCACAGGTATATTTCTAAACCGACTTGGCTTATTTTTATCTTTTTAATCCAGAAAGGAAATTAGTTATCTCTATTTAGCAGCCTGTACCCAAAATTTACAGAAGTTAAGTTCTCATCCAAAAAATTAAGATTACAACACCTTTGCTTATTTTCCATGTTTTTTTTTTAAAAAAAAAACTGAGGTTCACATGAGATGTTTAACACAAACAGGACTGGCTACATAATTTGTAGCGCCCCGCACAAAATGAAGATGTGGGACTTTTTATTTACAATTTATTAAGCATTTCAAGATGGTTGACACCAAAGCATTAAACCAAGCACAAGACAGGTCTCACACCCTCGAAGCCCACCCTGAGTATGAAAGCATTTAGTCAAATGTGACAGATGTATTTAGTGCACAGCCCGGTGTAATTCATATCATAACACTTGTTAATGCTTTAAGGGTTTGTAGTGGGAAGCGAGGTCACTCTTGGCTGGGGTATGGGTGCTTGCAGAAAGCAGTGGCTCTTGCTCAGAACCCTGCTAGGATTAGTTACACTTATATGTGAGTGGTGACAGTTGCCCCCATGAAGGGAATGGTAGGGAATTGGGAAAATACAGGACCATATTTAGAACGGTGAGTTCTCTAATTTAGTTAATGGTTAAAGTGAGTGTAGCAGTAAGCTTGGGGAGATGAGTAGGAGCCATATTTTAGGAGGCTTTGGATCCTTGTCATTTGAGACACCAGAAGCACTAGATAGCTATTAACCTGATAATTGTGAGTATTTAGTTACTATCTCTCTTTACTCAGGGAAATATGTGAGCGCGCTCGCGCGCGCGCGCTCTCTCTCTCTCTATATATATGGTATATCAAAGATATATGTAAGATGCAGAGAAATTATCATATATATTATAAGTGGTATATCAAAGATAAATATAAGATGCAGAGAAATTATCATATATATTATAAGATATATTACAATTATTTATAAATGATATGTATTAATTATAAGGTAATACATATATGATACCTGTCCCTGCTACTTGTTGTATTCTCAGAGAGAACAATTACTAGCATGTAGTAGGTGTTCAATAAATATTTTCTGAATTAATAAAATGTTTGTTGGATTAGGGTTTTATTAAAGAGGTAGAAAGAATGAAGAAGTAGAAAGAAAGTAGATCTATTTTCTTTGTTTTTTGTTTATCCATTTCGGTCTGTAACTAAATGGTTTGAATGTTGCACATTTAGTGTTAGCATTTTGTAGAATAACTTTTTTTAATTTTAATTTTTTTAAATTAAGTTTATTGGGGTAACATTGGTTAATACAATTATATAATTTTCAGGTGCACATTATCATTTGACATCTGTATATTCTATTGTGTGTTTACCACCCAAAGTCCAATTTCCTTCAGCTACCATATATTTGATCCCCTTTACCCACTTCACCCTCCCTCTATCCCCTTATATTTGACCCTCCTTACCCCGTCTACCACCCCTCTCCTCCCTCACCTCACTGGTAATCACTAGTCTATAGTCCTCTGGTAACCAGTAGTCTGTAGTCCATGTCCATGAGTCTCTGTTTGTTTGTCCTGCTCATTTGTTGCTTTTAGGTTTATATCCCACATAAAAGTGATATCCTGTGATTTTCTACTTTTTCAGTCTGACTGATTTCACTTAGCATGATTATCTCGAGGTCTATCCATGTTGTCGCAAATGGCAGTATTTCATCTCTTCTGATGGCTGAGTAATATTCCATTGTATATATGTACCACATCTTCTTTATTCAATTATTTATTGAAGTACACTTTTGTTGTTTCCATGTCTTGGCTACCATAAATAATGCTGCAGTGAACACCAGGGTACATATATCTTTACAGATAAATGTTTTCAAATTTTGGGGATAGACACCCAGACGAGGGATTGCTGGGTGATTCTATTCTTAATTTTT